TACGTCTACCAATAACTGCTCACACTGCCAAACCAATACACCGGACAATTATATCCACGCTCTTTGGTTCTGTCCACCAGTTCAGAAGTTTTGGCGCGAGATATGTGAAGACTTATCAAGAACACACATGCATCAACACTACAATGTCAAGAGAAAATCAAATCAAATCGTTCAAAATAACATAGGCTCTGACTCAGTTTATCGCTCTGGATGATCAGCCACTGTCAGTCGTGGAAAACATAGGATTTTGCCGCCTTCTCAGCATACTCGAGACGCAATATGAGATTCCCAGCCACCCATACATCACTGGCATAATGGTGCCAACACATTTTGAAAAGGTAAAAAAACACATGCATAATCTCATGCATCAGGTTTCAGCCTTAAGTTTCACTACAGACATTTGGACAAGCAGTGTGCGCTCGATGTCACACCTCAGTTTAACAGCGCAGTGGATTGATGAGGAGTTTGTTCGTCATCAAGTCACACTACACACTACACTACACACACGCAAAGTCGTTCAGGGGCTCGCACACTAGTTAAACCATCGCAGCTGCTTTTCAATAGCATGCCCCAGATGTGGGATATACTGAAGACGTCCATCCACATAGTGCTCCGGGACACCGCAAGAAATGTGATAGAGGCCATGAGTGATGGTGAGCTGCCCAGCCTACCTTGTACTGCTCACACTCTCCAGCTGGTTGTTCATGAGGGCCTTCTGTCACTGAAGAGTGTTGCTGATGTGGTGGCAGTTTGCCGCAAAATAGTTGGACATTTTAAACATTCTGCTCTGGCCAGCTCCCGTCTCAAATACATTCAATTACAGATCAACCAGCCTGAGAAACGGCTCCAGCAAGATGTTCAGACCCACTGGAACAGCACGTTTTATATGATACAATCACTGATTGAGCAGAAACGGGCTCTGGGAATATTCGTGTCTGAATATGGACTCCCTGATACGCTCATGACTCACCAGTGGACATTGCTGGAGAAAGTGATATCTGTTCTGGGTCCATTCGAGGAGTTAACTCGAAAAGTCAGCTCTGCAGATGCAGACATCACTCCAGCAGTCACAGTGCTCCACAGATTTCTAACAAGGGAGACTGATGAGGACCATGGGATCAAAGCAATGAAAGGAACCTTGGCTGCAGCTGTCAGGACGCGGCTCACTGATGTGGAGGAAAACCCACTCTATAGCATCGCCACTCGACTCGATCCCAGGTGAGTGTGTGCCTGTGTGTTTACCTTTGACTGTGTGTGACTGTAATTGTGTGACTGTGTGTGAATATGACTCTATGCAACTGTGTGTATCTGTGACTGTGTAGTTAACTGTGTGAGACTCCAGCGTTCAGATTGGCTATCTATATGTGAATATGAGTGTGTATGTATCTGTGTGTGACTGCAAAAAAATAGGATGCTAACCTATTGTCAGCTAACTTTTTTCTTTCTCTGTTTTAAATATAAACATCTTTTTTTCCAGCACCATAGCTGCTGGAAATGCCAAAGAGATTCTGCAACTTGAGCTGCTAAGGTTGCCTGGAGACAAGCAGGAACATCATGACCTGAATGAACCACCTTCAAGAAAAGCACACAGTAACCAGCCCACTACTAGTCTGGACAGCATGTTTGATGAAATTGCTGATTAGGCACCAGCATCGGTGGGCAGAGTTGTGGTAGGTTCTAGTGTAGACTTGGAGACGTATCTTGGAGAGGCCGCAATTTTACGAGAAGACAAATCACAACAATAAAAAATGTTATGTGAATCTGAAAGCTGTAGACAGCACTAAATTGTTCACTGTTATTTTGTTTGGATATATGATGGATATTTTGCAATCATTTAACAGAAGTGTTTATTTTATTCTGAAACATAATTTTTATTTATTTTATTCTGAACAGAAGTGTTTATTTTTCAATCTGAAAGCTGGAGACAGTCCGATATAGTTCACTGATATTTGTTGTTTAAAATGTGGATACTCTGCAATAGGTTCATTAATGTTATGTCTGAAAGCTGGAGACAGTTCAAAATACTTTAGTTATTTTGTTTGTTTGTTTACAATATGGACATTTTGCAATAATTTAACAGAAGTGTTTATTTTTTAATTGAAATTTTGTTTTTCTGGTCATTTTTATTAATATTTTATTTTTTATCAGCAGAGAATAAAATAAAACCTGTCCTCCAATTCACTGAATTTTTTTTCATGTGTGTGGTGGAAGTATTGGTTTTTGTACTTGTTTTTGGCAAGTAGTCAGATCCAATTATCGCTATTGTATGGGTTTAAAAAGATTTGTACTTTTTTTCTACAGTTCATCCTGGCTTTTTTTAGTTTTTCAAAATGAAGCTTTAATGTGCTTCTGTTGTGTAAAAGGTCTCTTTGTAGTCAACAGGTTGCCTTTGCAAGCGGTGTCATGTTTGCTGGAGTTAGATGACACATTTAAAGTCTGCATTTTTCTCTCTGAAGTTTGGCATTTGCGGGGCAAGACTAAAGCTAGGAAGATTATGATGGACCTCTCCCATCCCAACAATGGACTCTTCTCACTGTTGAGGTCTGGGAAGCGCTTCCGCTCCCTCAAGGCCAAAACAGAGAGAATGAGGAGGAGCTTCTTCCCACAGGCTATTCGGGCCCTGAACCAGGTGTAGGACTGGACTCTCACACACATCACATCACCACACGCACTCTGGTTTTTCTTCATGCACACTTCCTATAATTTATAATCTCTTTCTGCTATTTGCACTTTTTTTTTTACTGTAAATTTCTAAGTTAAATCTGTAAAATGTGTATAACCTGTAAATTGTAAATACTGTAAAACCACTGTCATTTAATGGTCGGGTATTGCATTGCACAGCTACAAGCATTTCACCTCATGTCATACTGTGTATGGTTGCGTGTGTGACAAATAAAATTTGAATTTGAAAAAACTCGTTTGAATTACTTGTTCTCTTTTAAAGAACTGTCAGCCTTGCAGGCTGATTCTACATAAATAGATGAAATCACATGAGTGCCCAGTGGTGTAATTTAACAATGATATTTTGTTACCAGAAGCTCAGACACATGGGCTGCATGGATGGAGTCAGAGGAAGGCTGTCGAGCCTGAAGCTCTTCTCCCATTGGCCAGGACTCTTAGAAGTGACAATGTAGAAACCTGATGGCATTCAATACAAACTGATTAATTGGAGTCAATCTTTAAATCATACTGACTGATGATTCAGTAGTAATGATCTCCACGTGAAACTCACCTGAGCTGTTACCCAGCGTGTGGTCGACACTTGGGCCAGTTAAAGTCGGAAAAGTGGGGCCTCTGATTCGAAACCAGTCCCCGTTATCATCTTGCTGCTGCCTCCAGAAACACATGCCCTGCTCGAAGTTGCAGGTGAGCTTCTCCTCGTCTACACACAAAAACACATCAGGTAAAGGGAACGCTCAGAGAACATGTAATAGTCTGTTTATCACATCTTACTTGACAGCGTGGAAATGTTGGCTGCACTGTACGTGGCTATGAACCCTGACAGACTGTTGATATCATCAGAGGTGAACTCCACAGTTGATTGGTCGGTCAGCAGCCACACATTTCCAGGAGAGGTGGAGCCTGAGAACTGAGCTGCCAATCATTAAATCAGGAGGTGAGCCATAGGGTTAAGGATAGCAGTTGTGGTCTGTTCAGACTGACTGTGGGATTCACCTGTGAAGACTTTGTTTGGTCCCACACCTTCATAAAGCCTCAGAGTGTCGCTGTTTTCTTCAGTTTCAAAATGAGGGAAGGTAACCTGAACTGAAAGTCCGTCATCAACCCTGAAAACAACACAACTCTTTATTAGTGAATGAAAGAGCTTGTTTTAATGTCTGTTTTACAAAGAACTCACCATTCATGTGTTGGGGTGTGTCTGTTACACTGAGTGTTATTCAAATTCAAATTCAAATTCAAATTCAAATTCAAATTCAAATTCAAATTCAAATTTTATTTGTCACACACACACAACCATACACAGTATGACATGGGGGTGAAATGCTTGTAGCTGTACAATGCCCGACCATTAAATGACAGAAGAAAAGTTTTACAATATTTACAAT